GGCTTCCCTGCCAGCACCAACGTTCAGTATTTCATCATTCAGATCTTCGAAGAATTGGTCCTTACATGCGACAGTGGCATCATCATTTACACCGTATACTCCGAGCAGCGTGATCTTATGTCCGTACAGGTTAAGGTTCATTTTGATAATGCGCTGGTTGACGGCCTCCCAAGTGCCCACGAACTTACGTAGGCTTCTCCGCAAAAGTATTGCTACTCCTTGCTGAGCACGCTGATCTTTGGCTACGCCGCTGTAGAATAGATCATAGTCACCGTAATTCTCTGACCCGTGCCCTTTTTTCTTGGTCTCAGTAAGAACAGCGTCATCCACTCCAAGTTTCTGAATCTCCGATATCACTTCCGGTAACTTATTTGAAATGCCTTGGACATTCCACGTCCCAAATACCATTGTCCGTTTTCTCAATTTTTGTCGACGTGTCCGTTTAGTTCTAGTGGTACCGAGGCTTGTATTGTTAGGTCGTTTAACAGTAAAACTTTTTACAAGTACCGGGGAGTTAGCCCGATGACTCAACCCCCAACCTGGAGGACCAGGGTTTGATTTCGGAGTTGCCTCTCCTAGACAGGTTGCTTTCACTTCAGCTCAGAGCCCTGTCTGCCCTTCTAGCAGGTGGTTCATACGCCCAGAGGCCGGTGACCATCTCCACTGCCCCCTTTGAGGCAGGGGCTACCAGCTGGGGTCCGCAGGATTGCTAAACCTGTGACAACAGTCCCCCATACGGCACTTTTTTAAATTCCATCGGTATTAATTTGTACAAATTTTGCTTTAAATAGATATCCAAAGCCATTATGAATCCATTAATGTATGTTACTCCTGGATAATATTCATATATGGACTCAATTTCAGACTTATTACCGGCCTACTTGGCTGGTTCAATGTGTGTGGACCTAGCCGACGAACGGAGCCGAGTCGGGAGTGGGGAGGTGGGGAGCGCTGAGCGCGAGTCTCTGCGTATGCGTCGTCGCTAGTCGCCGCACACTAGTCTCCGGAGAACTGGACAAAACAGCCTCGAAAAGTGACTTCAACGGCGATCCAGTACTTTGCGACTCTATTGTACTCTATGGGTTCTTGATTTAAGCTTAAATCTGATTGAATCGAGAGTATTTTTTCTTGTCGATGTTTTTAAGAGTCTGAACTCTAGATCCAATGTGCTTCTTTTTCAGTGTACAAACAACAAAATAAATAAAAAATGATAAAACAATTCTAATCCGACTCTTGTAAAGTTAGGAGCTGCAACAGAAAGTAACCCNTCACAAGTATGGCGGTTGAAAAGCGACCGTTTTGAATGGGTCGGTTCCAAAAACAGCTTTTTTTTGAGTTTGAGAGGTCATTTCAAGGTTTTTTAGTAGCGCCATCGTTCTTTTCGTGAAATTTGCCATAAGAATCAGGCATCAATTTGCAAATCCCCGCACCTTGCAACAGGCCCATTCTAATCCGACTCTTGTAAAGTTAGGAGCTGCAACAGAAAGTAACCCCGAAGAATTTTCACCATTAATTTGTTTTCCAATAACAGAGATAATAAGGCCAAGCGAAATCTCAGTTAAAACTGTTATAGATAAAATAATATCACTTATCAAAATACGTAAAAATTATCTAAAATCAGTCAAAAACATCACTCAACGAAGAAAGAAAAAAGGAGAAAAATGTGAAGTGACCATTAAGATATTGTACCCGGCTACCTGGTCGTTATATAATGCTTTTATGTTTCCGATAACAAAATCACGCGACAGAAAATGAATGATCCATTGTTTTCCTCCTTCCGAAATTGATGAGATTTGATGAGAAACTTTCGAAGTTGGCAATCGCAAAATAGTATTTTCTAACTTCAGTATTATCATGCTAACCACGGAAGGGGAATTTTTTTTAATAAAATGTCTTATTCCATGAAACAAAAAATTGATTGATCTTAAGGAGTGCTCTTCTTTTTGCTGTAATTATTTATCCACATTACTTGTAGGATATTGATTTTCGTATCTCCGTGATCAAAGGACAAAAAAAGAAACTGTAGAACCATACTAAACCTAAGAAATAAACTTTGGAATATTAACTGTGCGGCACCCTCTGTTAGGTAATTACTTTCAGGATTGCAATTTTACATTTTCTCTCGTTCAGCAATTTTATTATTTGTTTTTTATAGACTACAGAAAATACGGGTGACTTAGTATTTGAAGATGAATTAGAAGAAACAAGTAAAGTCATCATAGAATTACGAAAACAGAATGTCGATCTCGTTGTTGCGGTTTCTCATTCTGGCTATGAGAAAGATAAGGTTATTGCGGAGTCCCTCGATGCTGATATTATCGTTGGTGGTCACTCTCACACTTTACTCTATACTGGTAAATTCAAATTTTACTTTTTATGCAATCCAATTTCTTGTATAGCTATTAACTTTGGGGAAGCAGCAGTTTTCGCTCTTTAAATGAACTAAGTTTAACACCACGCCACGGTAGAAGATTTTTCATAAAATTTAACATAAAATTCCTTAAGCACCTTTGAAAATCCAAAATAGGTAGTGTTTTTTGTGCTCGTCAATTCAAACCTCGCCATTTCTGCCCTCATCAAAAAACCAAAAATATTACAAACAATGTCCCTCTTAAGATAAGACCTTCAAATAAAATCTTCATTCTCAAAACCTAAGTGTAGTTCGAGTTGGCTATACAGGCAACTAACTAAAACTACTTTCATTATCTTGAAAACTTTTGTTTCTCTTTTCACGTCACTGCACCATCTCTTGAAAAATCCTCATGGTCAGATTTGGCCCATTTAAATCGAAAGAAACTACCCCCAGAAACAACTCGAACTACTGCTTTGTGACCTGGGCCATAGTATCCTTAATAGTCACTACATGCATGACAGGGCTCAGCTCACGTCATAATTGGACTACATTTTGCAATTAGAAACTATAAATTCCGGCCCGGTTTAAAAACAGCATATGTGCCATTAGTTTCCCTATGCACATAAGAGTTTTTTCAGATGAGCCAGAATTCATAGCTCCAAATTGTCCAATTGATAGTCTTTCATGATTTAAATACGCCCAATTGAGGTGATATCTCAACTAATTTTGAGTACAATAAACTACTTGAAATAATAAGCGCCCAAGATTTTCAATGGCTCATATTTTAATCCCACACTGAGTGTTGAGCATTCACGTTATTAAACTTCGCTCAACTTTATTTAAACTATGGTTGATGTAAGAGGAATTGAAGCTGAGAATCTGAGGTACATTATTTGTTCTCAAGTATTATCTCCCAAAGGTGAAAACTAACTATCGTTGAGGCATCCGTCCTGGGGGACCGACGTATAGGTAGACATGATTCCGACTTGCAGCGCCTTCAATTTTAAGCGATACTACACGATTAGCTCTGCAGTTAGTCTAGTTACCCACAAGATCCAAACCCACCTTAAGGTCATCAGGGGTCTAATTTCAGTCCCTGGACAATTTAAAAAATGAGACGTTATTATATTCATCGTATTTAACTCTATTTTCTTTCAAGGAACTCCTCCATTGCCGGGAGACAAACCTCAAGGTCTGTATCCGACAGTCATAACGCAGGAAAGCGGTCGGCAAACTTTGATTGTTCAAGCATCGGCTTACTCCAAATATTTGGGTTACTTAAAAGTACAATTCGAGAAAAAGAACGGAAGGTTGCAAGTAAAATCATGGGAAGGGAACCCTATTTTATTGGACGAAACTGTGAGCACAGGTACGGTATTACACATTTGCATTCTATTTTTTGCAGTTTCTGTCGGATTTTTTTTTTTTTTTTTTTTTTTTTTTTTTTTNTTTTTTTTTTTTTTTTTTTTTTTTTTTTTTTTTTTTTTTTTTTTTAATGGTCCCGATTATCCGCGCCTCAATCGTTAGTGGTTTCGAACAATCCACGATTTTCCGTGGTACGTTTGATCCCAATGACCGAAAATAATCGAGCCTACACTATACTGCTGTGCTAATGAAGATCGCCGTGTAAGCGATCAAGCTTTGTCTTCCCTTGAACAAATCCAGGGCCGGATTTAGGGGGTGGTCACATGGGCCACGGCCCATGGTGGCAAATTTAAAGTGCGGCAAATTTTGCAATTTTTTTAAATGTAGGTATAAAAAACATCGGATTCAAAACAAAAATTAGAAACAAGAGAAGGCGACAAAATCTCTCATTTCCTGAGAGTATAGTAATTTCTAATTTTGTCGTCTATCGATGATACAAGAGACAACACCTGTACCTTTGATTAGTCGAGTTAAGGGAGAGACCAAACTCGCAATTTGGCCTGGAGCGGCGCGGCACAGAAAGCAATGATGACGAGGACTTGAGATGAAAAGGAGAAGCCCTCGGCGCAGCGCCGGCGGTCGGCATGTAAGCGCCTACAAGACTGCATGAATACTTCACGCATTGCCAAACACGGTGAGATCAGCAGCGGTCGGCGTGAAACGCATAGCGCCTACAAGACTGCATGAATACTTCACGCATTGCGCCAGACACGGCGCGGCGGCGGAAGTTAAAATTATTAAACCAAATACATGTTTGTTTTTTCACAATTTTTTCGTTCATTTCTTATGAATGGAAGGCCTTGACCACACAGAGATAGGTTTACGAAACTTAACTTTCGCGCAAGTTTCGTACATTTTTGATGGTAGCGTTGACAGGGCTTTCGCAAAAAATGTGCCCAACACGAGTAAACGCGTCTTATGCACCCCTCCCCCTCCGGCACGTTTACTTGATGGTTTTTATTGAAGTTTCAGAACGAATGAGAAAAGGGTGGCAAAATACAGGCGGCCCATGGGCGGCAAGTACGTAGAGTACCCTGGACAAATCACTAATTTTCAGGAAAATTTGTTAATATTTCTCTTCCGATTTTTCAGAGGATTTTGTTCGTAATTTGATCTGAAAAGTCTGAAAATTTCAAGAAAAAATATTCATAACTCTTTCAAAAATAAATATTTTCTAAAAGAAAATTTGGCAACATCTGAACGCTTATATAGCGCTTTTACTTAGCACGGCAATAAATTTCCAAGATTCTCATCGGACTTAATCTGGTAGGACTTAATTTCCTTTGGTATGAATTTTTAAACTTTTTTCTAAAATTAGTTAGTATATTTTTAATCGTACATTTTCCAGATCCTGGGATTGAGGCGAAACTGACTCCGTGGCGCGATGAAGTAAATCTAATTGGATCGAAGGAGATTGGCCGAACTTTTGTTGATTTTGAGAAATCAACTTGGGCCTGTCACATCGGTCCATGTATGATCGGCAGACTGATCACCGACGCAATGATTTACGAGGTAATAACGATATCCATGGCTAAATTCCGAGAATACGTTGAAAAAACTAATTTTCTGTCAATTTTGACATTGCTGTATGCTGAGTATTGTTGGAGAATAATAATATCATTTTTTACCTTTGGCATACAAAATATCATAGATGGAAAAAATCTCGAAATTACTTTTAAATGCAAAATCATTCATCACGTAACTCAACTCTTAGTTCCGAAACCATAATTTTATTAACCATCATTAATTTAACCTTAAGGTAGTTATCAGATTAATTTAACGAACTTTTTGTTTCTTAACTACCCAGCAATTTGCATTTTTAGCCGTCTCTGTGTAAAACTTCATGTGCGCGGGACGTAGGTTTTCACGACACTAGGGAAAAAAAACACATTGGATCTAGAGTCCAGACTCTTGAAAACATTGACAAGAAAAAGGACCTTTGATTCAATCAGCTTAAATCAAAAGGAAATCCGCTCAAATAAAGAGGCTTGGTCCTTGATTTAAGCTTAAGTCTGATTGAATCAAGAGTATTTTTTCTTGTCGATGTTTTTAAGAGTCTGGACTCTAGATCCAATTTGTTTTTTTCCAGTGTAGCTATGGTTGAAATTATCTTGAGGCCGTCCATAAATCACGGTGCGCTGATGTAAAATTTGGGAACTTAGACCTCCTCCTCCTCCCCCCCCCTACCTCTCATCGCGGACCTCTCAAGTCCCTCTTCCTCGGAAAACTACGTCTTGTTTTGTTTGATTCCCTTATATTTCGTGTGTGATTGGCATTTCATGTCAATTTGCCAAAACCAATCGAAAAAAATTCTCAAAATCTCACTGAGCATACCGATTGTTGTAACAAAGTCGCGCATGTATAAAAGTATAGTAATTTCTAATTTTGTCGTCTTTCGGTGATACAAGAGACAACACCTTTAAATAGTCGAGTTAAGAGAGAAACCAAACACGCAATTTGACCTGGAGTGGAGCGGCGCGGCGGCGGTCGGCATGAAACGCATAGCGCCTACAAGACTGCATGAATACTTCACACATTTCGTCAAACACACTGCGGCCAGCAGCAGTCGTCGGCTTGAAACGCATAGCGCCTACAAGACTGCATGAATACTTCACGCATTGCGCCAAACACACTGCGGCCAGCAGCAGTCGTCGGCTTGAAACGCATAGCGCCTACAAGACTGCATGAATACTTCACGCATTGCGCCAAACAGTGTGGTCAGCAGCGGTCTTACTCTCTTCCTCTCTTTCCTGTGCGCATTCCTCGCGCTAATAAAGATCCCCTTCCCTGTCCCCTTAAAGCGTAATGTAAAGCGTAAGTGGCCGTCTTTCCGCCTTCGTCCTTAAGAACGCTACAATTAACCCAAAACTCCTGGGTTTCCTAATTTTTGCGCATTTTATCCTTGCAGTACGTCCAACAAAGAGAAGGTCGCAGTTGGACAAAAGCTGGTGTGGCTATTCTTCAATGTGGAGCGATACGATCATCGATCATGCACGGAAGTATGGTTTTTCTTTTACTATGGACACATCCCTGAGCAAATTTAAATGTTTGGTTAATGACGGCAAACTCTGTCGTGTTTCTCCTCAAAGGAACAGTTAAAATGCTTTTAACGAAGTGCCTCACTGTAATTAAGTTTGCTTGTGAAGAAAAATGCAACCGAGCGTTCATGATGCTCGCAGATACAATAGTTCTTGCTGCTCAACCGCGAGTGTTGCATATACAATAGAACGGAGGCGCTTTAACCCTCATTAACACCCCTGAGTCTCTGATCGCGCGTTAACGATATTATACTAATATCAGTATGCCTGCCTAAACAGGCTTTATCATACGTAAATAGAGAATACGTGCTAAAATAATATATATGAATCCCCCACATACTTATACAATACATTCTTGCTTTCAGACATCAGCTACGCTGACCTCTGGAATATCTTGCCCTTTGAGGATTCTTACGGCATGGTAGAACTTAACGGGCAGCACTTCAAAGAAATGTTAGAATTCTCAGTGCAACATGAAAATTCGCCGTTTTTGCAAATGTCAGGTAATATGAGAAAATGTTTTACTCGCCTTCTTTTTTGCTGACTAACTACCTAAGATATCATTAAAAATGACCACCTCTTGCTCAGTAGAGTAGGGCCCCTTCGTGAGCTGAAGCTTTACGAAACAACTAATAGGGGATGGTACATTTTACAATTTGAGACTATACTACTTCGGCTCATTTCAGAAACAACCTATATGCAATTAGTTTCTGTATGCACAAAGGTGCTTTCAAGGACGGGCCAGAAATAGTAGTTCCTAATAGCAAAATGATATTCAGTCAATCCTTTTTCTAAAATTTTGTAAGGGATCCAACAGTGACAGTTTTCTGCTGAAAGGAATTATGTACAAAGGAATTGAATTGATCGTAATTATGTGCATATGATTTGCATGCAACTAAGCAGTGGCGTGGCGTGAATTGCTATATATCGATTGTTATGCCATTTAAACCTATGGTAAAGAATCGATTATTAAGGTGTTCGCTGCGAACACCCTATATATAGATCCTTTTCCATAGGTTTAAATGGCATAACAATCGATATATCGCAATTCACGCCACGCCACTGCAACTAAGGTAATTTCTTTCGATATTATTCCTTCCCACATATGTCACATTCGCATAAAAACGTCTAGATCAATACAACAACTCATCAAAGTCCCACAAAATCAAGGTCGTGATGGCACCCTAGAAGCGTACATGCATTCTATTACTTTTATACCCGTGCTGCAATTAATTACCCAAGTGCCCCTTTTGAAAATTTCCTTTTCTGACAGGCGTGAAAGCGAAATTTGACTTCACAAAGCCAGTAGGAGAACGAGTCTCGGATATTTTTGTGCGATGCTCGACGTGCTCAGTGCCCACATACGAGCCACTTCTTACTCACAAATATTATCGAATAATCATGGCTGCGTACATGTACAATGGAGGAGATGGATACGATCTCATCAAAAAACGCGCTAGATTCTGGACTCCAGGTATGTTTTCAGTACTGCCGTACTAAGGAAAAACGTCGTATGAATATTCGAGAGTTGCCAAATTTCCCTTGATAAAAAATGTATTTTTGACGACATTTATGCACCTCCTTCTTTGAAATTTTCAGATATTTTAGACTAAATTGCTTGTAAAATTGTCTGAAATTTTTGGGGAAAAAATATTCACAATTTTCCTAGTAAATTCGGGTTTTATCAAATGAAATTTGGCAACGCCTGAAGGTTCATACGCCGTTCTTCCTTAGCACGGCAGAGTAGGTAAGAGTCAAATTGTCGGTCGATAAAATCCTCGATTATTATCAAAATGTAATTACTATCAGGGCCGGATTAAGGGGGTGGCCACATGGGCCGCGGCCCATAGCGGCAAATCTGGGGGGCGGCAAATTTTGCAATTTTTTTTAAATGTAAGTATAAAAAAAATCGGATTCAGAAAAAAAATTATCAATGAGAAAAGGGGACAAAATCTCTCTTTCCTGAGAGTATAGTAATTTCTAATTTTGTCGTTTTTTGGTGATACAAGAGACAGCATCTTTAGTTAGTCGAGTTAAGAGAGGAATTAAACACGCAATTTGGCCTGGAGCTCAGCGCAGAGAGGAATGATGACAAGGACTTGAGATGAAAAGGACAAGCCCTCGGCGCAGCGGTCGGCATGTAACACATATTAGTGCCTACAAGACTGCACGAATACTTCACGCATTGCATCAAACACAGTTCGGTCACTGGTCAGCGTGAAACGGATAGCGCCTACAAGAATGCATGAATACTTCACGCATTGCGCCAAACACAGTGCGATCAGCGCGAGACGCGTAGCGCCTTCAAGACTGCATGAATACTCCACGCATTGCGTCAAACACAGTTCGGTCTGCGAGGCGCGGCGGGGGAAGTTAAAATCATTAAACCACATTTATGTTTGTTCTTTCATAATTTTTTCGATCATTTCTTATGAATGGAAGGCCTTGTCCACAAAGAGATACGTTTACCAAACTTAAATTTCACGCAAAGTTCCTTGAACTTTTGCTAGTAGTGTTGACAGGGCTTTCCCAAAAAATGTGTCCAACACGAGTAAACGCGTGTTATGCACCCCTCCCCTGCTGGCACGTTCACTTGATGGTTTTTATTGATGTTTCAAAACGAATGAGAAGGGGGCGGCAAGATACAGGCGACCCATGGGCGGCAAGTAGGTAAATCCGGCCCTGGGTACTATACATTTTCGAGCGTCATGGTGGAGTGATCAACATGGATTTGGTACAGGTATATGCCTATAATATTATGATATTCAGATAAATACCGTCGACATCAATTAACTTTTAGCTTTTCGGACCAAAAAATCGGACTTTCCGGATCATTTCCGAGGGAAACAGCTTGGTTTCAACTCTTTCGGAGAACTTTCGATTCTGGCCCTAAAAAGTTAGTCCATGGTACCCCTGTCGATTTTTCACGATTTTGGTCGGGGAAAAAAATTTTGAGATTAGTGTCGAATCCTACGTAGTTCAAGGTGTTGAATCGATTGCGCGTGGTCCCGAGACTCACTGGATACCCCCGAGCCGAGAAACGAGTGTTTTCGACCGTTTCCGACTGCTTTTGACCGTTTCTCACGCATCCCATTATCTGTTGATTGTGAGCTCTAGTGAGCTTGTGGAGCATTTTCAACCAGAAAATCGGACTCAGCGGGATATTTCCAAGGGGGCTTGACATGCCCCGGATTAAGAGGGTAGCCACATGGGCCGCGGTCCATGGCGACGAATTTTGCAATTTTTTTAAATGCAGGTATGAAAAAAATCGGATTCAGAAAAAAAATTACCAACGAGAAAAGGCGACAAAATCTCTTTTTCGTGAGAGTATAGTAATTGCTAATTTTTTCGTCTTTCGGTGATACAAGAGACTGCACCTTTAATTAGTCAAGTTAAGAGAGAAACCAAACAGGCGATTCGGCTTGCAGAGAGGCATGATGACCACGAAGACTTGAGATGTAAAGGAGGAGCCCTCGGCGCGGCGGTGTGCATGTAACACATATTAGCGCCTACAAGACTGCATGAATACTCCACGCATTGCGTAGAACACAATGCGGTCAGCACGAAACGCATAGCGCCTGCAAGACTGCACGAATACTTCAAGCATTGCGTCAAACACAGTGCGGTCAACGCGGCGCGGCGGCGGCGGCATTAAAATTACTAAACCACATTTTTGTTTGTTCATTCATAATTTTTTCGTTCATTTCTTATAAATGGAAGGCCTCGTCCACATAGAGATAGGTTTACGTAACTTAACTCTCGAGGAAAGTTCCGTAAAATTTTGCTGGTAATGTTGATGGGGCTTTCGCTAAAAATGTATCCAACACGAGTAAACGTGTCTTATGCATCCCTCCCCCTCCGGCACGTTCATTTGATGGTTTTTATTGATATTTCAAAACGAATAAGAAGGGGGCGGCAAAATACAGGCGGCCCATGGGCGGCATGTAGGTAAATCCGGCCCTGGAGCTTGTTACGTTTCAGCCCAATTTGAGAACTTTCAATTTTGACTCCGAAAAGTTAGTCCATATAACAGTTTCAGAATCCTCTACGTCTTTGGTACGTCAATGAGAAGTTTCATTTCTCGTCTTTGTTAGGGGAACTCTAGAACTCGTTTCGCCGTGCTTTACAAGCACAGAATAATTGAGGAGCAGAATTGCTCGCAGAATAATTGAGGAGCTTTCCGAAAACGGGCACACAGCAAAAAATCGCGTATGAGAAAAATGTATATTAAGTTTCCTTCATTACTTTCCGGTCACTGATGATGACTTACATAGCATCTTGGACTCCCGATTTCGAACGTAAGTCACAGTCAGTGGCCATAGAATAATGATGGAAACATCAAATGCATTTTTCTCGAACGCGATTTTTTGCTATGTGCCCTTTCTCCAGAAAGCTCCTCAATTTAGATATCTTTCATATTTTATTTTTGTTCCAATACTTCATCAACAGAGGTTTTTAATTACTTTTAACGTTGCTCATTTTACAGGAAACTTGGATGTAGAGGTTTTTTTGAACTATATAAAAACGTTTAGCCCTTTGATCTTTGAACTGGATGAAAATGTCTCTGTAAAACTGACACCTGAGTATGTGCAGCGCATGAAAAGAGCCAAAGGATTTGATCTAGAAGTATATCCCTGATTAAGGGTATGATTGGATATGAGGGGTATGATATATTCTCTGTTACGAATGGTACGATCCTTCAATAAGCTCTGACCAGTATAAAGTGTTGTATTTTTCCTCTTATGGTGTTAATTTTTACCTCATCATTATCCACCATTTTTTTTATAGAGACTAGTTTAAGCAGAAGGACTGAACCTTAGAAAACTGAGAATTGGAGCTCCTTCATTTTGACAGTTGTACTGAGTGAGTTACAGCAAAGTCAAATATGGGTTACAAACATGATCCTGGATTTAAAAACGGACTGCTGTAACCACCTAATTTTTTGGGAGGAAATATAAAATCGAAAAAGTTTGAGTTGAGTTTAACGTTTCAAGAATAATGTTATACAATTCAAAGATAAAATAAACGATTTTCCTAGGCTGAGCTCACAGGACCAAAGGCTGGTAGATCACAGGATTTAAAATGCAGAATGCAGCACGTAGTAATAATGCCAACTCTGACTGCCTGCTGAGAGGTTAATTACAACCTTCTTTTGGATTATTCTCTTCCATTAAGATTTTTTTTCTCTCAAAAAAGGATATTCAAAATTCACTTGGGCATGGGAAATTTTCGGAGTTTAGACAGAGATTGGAGAAATGATACATACACATACATTCCATCAACAGACATTTTGTTCACTCTCTTTCAGGGTGGTATGAAACAAAAGAATTGTCTGAGAGAAAGGAAATTACAACGGAATGTTTCATGAGCTTTCACAAGGCTATGAAATCTATTAATATTATGGTACATTTATTTTAAGGGTAGGATATATTGATAGCCAAAGAGCGAAACCTTGTACCTTTCTCCATTGTAGTGTTTCAAAATTTTCGCTCCTATTTTATTTCTTTGAATAAAAAAAAGCCAACTTTATAGCTTGAACTTTACAAGAATAGTCTGCTCACAGAGAAAAAAAAATCAAGAAATTACAATGGATTGGCTGGTTTTCCAAAACAAAAATAAAGTATAAGAGAAAGTCCGCCAGACAACGGACATACGTGGTTTCACACTTTGGCTACCGATTTGCAACTTCCACTTCAAAACATACATAAAACATGCAAAACACCCTGGTTTTCTCTATCCTAGTTTTGTCAGTTCTTACTTGTATTGAGGGGGAGGGAGGAGTGATGGAAATCAGCAGAAATAACTATTTCAAAAACCGAAATTATATTTTACTCTTGTAATTACATAAATACATACAAACATAAATTTCGAAAGCATGTGTCATACAGTTAACTTTGGACTCTCCAGAATTTTTTGGAACGAGTCAAAAATCAAATGGTATGCACGCAATGGATTTGTTGGTGTAAATGTTGCGCTAACAAATAAAAATATGGCTGAAAGCTCTTAAAAAAAACAATCTACAGATTTCTTATCAACAATAATTCAGATTAATTTTCAATTATTCACTTTACATTTAACTAAGTATGGTTCAATTTTGCACAGGCTCTCATTGTTGGTTGAAAGAGAAGTGAAAATTTTAAACAAAATTAAAATTTATGGGTACAATGGTCAACAAAAGACAAAAGGGCAGTCCTACGAGGAATAGGGATAAGTATTGCTTTTTTTTTTTATAGAAAACATGATTTGCTTGAATCACGAATGGAAAAGGGACCAAAGAAAAAAAATTTGTTGCCCTAGGGTTGCATTTATTTTTTTGTTAACTTCTGGTGTAACCAACACAGAGCACTTTGTAAAAATTGGCATCGGTCAGTACGCTGAACCCTTTTGATATAAAGTTTATGATAAGACAAGGAATTGAAAAAATTCCTCTTTTATTATTTATGATTTATTATTTAGCATTAGAGTTCTATAGTGTTGTTTACAATTTACTTTGTTTTCCTGCCAAAATATGATTAAAGAGATTTGCAAAAATTATCATAATGCAACAGTTGAATAAATATTAAATGTGAAAAAGTGTACTTATTTATTGTATTTTCAAGCAACCATTTTTGACGTATTTTTCATGTTTGAGGGCATGAAACGAGGCATCTCAATGAGAAACAGAGAAGCCAACAGATGGACAAGGATGGATGAAAATATATATTCTGGCAGAGCCGAATTCGATCATTAGAAACCAACATCCTATTTCCACAACAAGAAATCCATTCTATTTTATTCTGATAAAAATGCTGATTTATGCGATACAATCAATTAAAAAAATGTATATTCACAACAGTTGATTTTGCCATATACACATCTTAGAGAGGAATTTACCGAAGTTTGGAACATGAGAACTGATTTCTGAAAAGGGCCTCTAATTTCAAATGCTTAGGATTAAAGCAAGAGATCGGTTTGATAAAGTTTAAAAATTCATTTCTGTACAATAAAATAGGAAACTTTCTTGGACGAATGACAGGACTGCAATAACGAACATTCTAAAGTTTAAATTCACAGTGATTAAAAAACAAAAGACTCAAGGATAAAATTGGCTACTTAAACAATTAGTATGTATGCATGAATAAATAAAAAGTTTAGGACAAACTAATTACAGAAACAGTGGAAACACAGATAAAATATAAAATGACTCTGCTCTTTAAGTACATTTACTAGCACACTCATACTTAAAAGAGGAAATAAAATCATTAAAATAACAAGACAAAAACAATTTAAAATATAAATAAATAACTAACACTATTTAAAACTACTTTAAAACTTTTAGGGATGGCTTTATTGCTGGGAGGGAGGGGTGAATTTGGATTGTAATCAAATACTGAAATTCTTTAGAGATAATTCCTACTGCTCAAAGCAGACAACTAACAACAAAAAAATAAGAATAGAAAATCTGACAACATGAGTGACCTTCCCAGAATCGAATATCGCAACTTCACGTTGCAATTTTTATCATATTTCCAAAAAGTAAAAATTCAGCCTGGGTAAAGTTCTCATGTTATTTGGACGGGGAGGGAAGGGGGACGATTCCTTTCCCTAATCCTTAAGCACATACTAATCTCCTCTTTAATAATTTTAATTCATTTTTAATCAATCTTAAGGGAAAAACAGAGGACTTTACGATTTCTCAATTAATTGCAGGGGCATAAGAAAAAGAAAATTTAAATAGTCACAGTTCTACCATAAAATGTAAGTACAGATTTTCCATCAATTTGTATGCTGGCATCACAGCTTGGTTACCTTTCAAGAAAAGTTATACTAGCTTGAAAGTTATCATTAACTACAACATTTTGACAAGTGCTGTTGAGAATCCTAATGCAACTTCAATCTGATTGATTAAAAATTATAGTTAGATTAGATACATAAAATAACTGCCACCAAGGCAGATCAATTAAAAAGGTATCACCAAAAAACAATACGGTGTAAGTACAGCATTGAGGAAAGATTTATTGGATTCAACGGAGATCTTCTCCTTTGAAACCAAATGTCTACTCAGTATTCATTACACTACAGACACAATAATTAAAATGGATGACAGAAAACGTCTGGTGAGAGGCAAAATAAAATTTAAAGGTTTAAATTGTTCAAAAACAAGACTCATTATTACCATTTATGAAAAGTTTTTTCGAGGTACCTTATTTTGGATTTTGAAAAACTCCAAAATGAGGAAAACCTTTCATAGGTGCATTTTTGCCACATCATGTTTGAGAGCTGAATTTTGACCAGTGCAAAATATTCATTTTCGAGATTTTATTTACAATTAAGGATAGGAGGGTCTCAATTGAGGGGTGAGAGGAGTAACCAAAAAACTAGTGCAAGAATGAATCACGTATTGGCACATGCGATATAAAATATAATTTGACAACAATATTTTGAAGCCGCATTACACCTCAAAACCCTTAAAAGCAAAGCTTAGAAAGAAGAATTATCTAAATTAGCAACTATGATTCCTCACCGAACTTGCACCTCTCTTCAGAGAAATATTTTGCAGAAGCGTTACTTTGTTTCAGTATGGAATACGGTCACTAGAAATAGCCACAATTTCTACGACAAATCCGTAAAAATTAAAAGTACATAGATACATACATACAATTTCATACATGTAGAAATGAAATTTTACAAAAATACCATCTAAGAAACTACAAGCATGAACAATTGTAAAAAGAAACTAAAAGGAGAAAGTACCAGAGACTAAGTAATAAATAATTTTATGTACATTAACAAAAACTACTTATGAAGATACATTGCACTAATTTAAGCTCCAGTGCTCACCAAGGAATGCAGCACAGATATTATGAGAAAGTTTATTCATTCAGAAAAATCCGGAGACATGGACGATCCTGCCGTCATCTAACTTTAACAATGGTCAAAACTGCGCGTACATTTTTCGACTGCCTTCAATTTTAATCTGACTGAAGATAAAGAAATTTTACTACCAGTGATAGGAATTTTTTCCTGCCACTGCAGATTTACGACAAAATGTAAACAAATTCTCTATGGAAAGTGACAGAGGAAACTTTGAACTCTGGTTTCTGGAAATGCTCCGATATTTTCAAGTTCAAAAATAAAGATTGATTCTTCCTCCGTCCACATAAAAAATATAAGCTTTTACTTTTAAAGACAGAAGTTATGCATTGAATTAATCTGAAATCAAAATGAGCGCCTGAAATCACAACAGAATCCAATGAGAGCTGTTTGAATGAGTAAACAGCTTCTGTGCAAAGAACTCGCGTCAGCACTAGAGTTTAGCATAAAATACGAAAGCATCCGTTTGACTTGGATAAATTAAGAGGCACTACAGCTCTACTTTTGCGCTTTGAGCGAATTTCAAGCAATAAAATTACAGCCAAGCTTGGCATAGACACAAAAACACAACATTTTTTTTTCATTTTCATGCTCTGCCTTGATAAACCTACTGATTACTGAACAGCTCATTCTAAAAATAGCAGGCATATATTTTAAGAGCACGTAAAACTATTGCACTAGATTCAACTAAAACAGCTTAATCATAATTAGCCTTCATTGAAGCGACTTAAAAATCCGTTCAACTTCATTTTTGTCTTTCATCACATAGTAACAATACAATTCTTAGTATTTTCCTTAAAATTAATCCACTCAAAACTATTTCAACTGCAAACCTGCTGTTTCAGGGTACATCACATGTGAACCTCAAAAAAAAGGTTTTGAAAACTAGGTTCCCTGAGAAAAATCTAGATATACTCATGGCAAAAGTGATCAGTTGGTATTTTGATATTTGCTCCCTTAGTTTTAAATGCACTATTTCAGCATCTTTTCCCAGAGTTCAATAATACTGTAGCCTTAAAAATTTTACTCTCTCTTCACAATAGTTTTGCCGAATTTATTCAAAAGTACTTCTTCCTCTAGAAAATAGAACTAAGAATAACATCGAATGACAGCCAAAACTCATCAAGTTAATGTCTTTAGTAACATTCATTTTCAAAAATTCAGTTTAGGAAAATGTTTTTCACATGATATAGGTTACTAGATTATTGGCATGCGAGGTACAAATTGGAGATCACGCAATTGGTTACTGATTAAAATTTAGGTATTGTGTTTTGATTCACCAAAACCTAAAACCCCATAGGTATCAACAGTGAAACTGCAGGAATGCAGATGTCATTTGTAGTGTTTCAAAATATTCCTTCTCATTCTACCTTATGGAGGAGAGACAAACAAAACCATTTCTTGAAATTTTTATAGAAGAAAAAATTAGGGAAGTTTTTAAGAAATAAAGTTCAGTATTTTTCCATTTCAAAAATATAGAATGATGGACAAGAAGTCTGCAACATCGCGACCAAGATACGCATTCTTGCAGTTTCACAGTCGATACAGCACACAAATTGGCAAAAAGATTCAAATCTTTCCGAATGCAGGAAAGCCCTCCACTAGAAGGGGTGACTTTACAAAACTTTGTCTGATCAGGAGAGAATAAAGTCTGCAATCGGTGGGTAGTTGCAGACCTAAGTGAATTTTGTACTATTGAGGTACAAAATTAATCAATTAAAACTTCATGGGAATGTATCAAGATAAAGTGGTTTAAAAACTAATCTTACAAGATAAATAATAAAAATCATCTCAAAATTTTAAAGGCATTGAGTTTATGGAATGTGCTGTAAAAATTATAAGCATGAGCTTTTTTTCTTCAGGAAAAGGTTCATGTTTCATTAAAATACTCTGGTGACAGGTAATCACTGATTTTGTTACGTAATAAGTTCACTCATTTTCAAAGAAGCTTTTCTGCCCCCAATATTTAATAGCGCTGTTGAAATTCATGATGCCACCGGTTGAAATCAATATGGAATACTACAATCATGCCTGATGATAGTCCAGCCAGTAAAAATCTGAAAATAAAGGGAAAGAATTAGAGATGAAACTTAGAGAATTTTGTAGAAAGGCTAAAATTAATGAGTTTCTGGTGAAAAATAGAGGTGGAAAAAATCTTGGGCGGACCGTGATTTTTCTCTTACAGACTTCATGAAGTTTTCTTATTTATCGAAATTATTGAAATTATCAGGTATTCATTAAAGGAAAATACATATAAGCAGTAGCAGAGAGAGGTTTCAATATTCCTTACCTAAGAGTTTTTTTTCCCAAATAAAAGTACAGAATGATGTGAATAAACATCAAAATAGACTAAACTGGGAGCAAAGTAACCTATCAACAATGAGCACCTAATGATTAATAAATATCTTCTTTTCATCTATACTGCACTTAAATATTACTAACTATATTACTTTATGTATATATTATTCTACCTCTCCTTCTCTATTGCTTATTGGAATGTCTTTATACACTTGAAGGGGAAATGCTTTTTGAGTTGAAATAATCAGAGGATGGTTCCTGTCAAGAAACCTCACATGTGCCATGTCTGCTGGCTTAAATCTAAAATTTTATACAGCTAGTAAAATCAGTAGCAATAGGTACAGGGTACACTAAAAAAATTCAACCTTAAAAATTTGAGGTCAAGTCTGGTGATCTGTAATACTAGGCGCGTGGAGTTTGGTGTGTGGAGAAAATATAGTTGGTTTTTTTTTTTTATATCTTAGTTCCCAGATTATAAAATTATGATGAATTTTTTTTATGGAAACAAGTTGTTACAAAATAAAGTACTTACTTCTGATCGGGAGTCAAAGCTATGGAACGAATGGCAGTATCACAAGCAGGAAAGGCATATAGTAAAGCTAGATTGAAAGCTCTCCATACTTCCACGATTCCTTTTTCACCACCAGTGATCAAATATTCTCCATCACGGCTGAGTAACATGCACTGTGAAAACAAAGATCATCATATTATAACTACAAAGGAGTACATATATGTAAAAATTTTATGGAATTAAAAAAAGTTTCATTAAAAAGGTGTCCTGATTCGAACAACCCATTGATTTTTACAAAATTTACAACTCAGCCACAGTGCTCATTTGAATGCTAATCAGTCTCTAAACTAAAAGAAAACTGATGAGGGTATTTTATTGTGGTTTCTCTGAAAGTTAAACTAATCCGACATGTTTATATTTTTACAGGATTACGTTTCATTTTACATGAAAGTTGCACTGAAGCAGTCAATTTTAAGGCAGTTGTAGGTATTGAGTTCAAGTCTTTGAGTATTCAACCAGTTACTCTTCCTTTATTTTTATCTTCAAGACTTTTAAGAAGCAAAACAATTTACCTGAACCGCAACTCGTCTTTGCCATTGTCAGCATTGAAATACTCTCTTGAATTATATATTTGTTATGATGCATTTTCAGTTTTTTTCCCCTTTTAGTATATTTCCTTCAGAATATATACTACTTTTTTCTCTATTTACATCAAATTTTATACTTACAGATTATCTTTTTAATTTAGTTAAAAAGAACACAGAACACAAGGGCTAGAAGTCAGAGAATCAGGTTTGTTTCTAAGTACTATCCAACCAAGCTTCATTTTGTATTTGCTTCGTTTGTTTCGTTTTATTAAATAATAAACTTAATTACGAGTATCATTATCCTTTGCTTTTTCAGTTACCTCAATCACCAATTTCAAATTACAATTAAACATGACGTACTTTCCTGAGCAAGTGCAATTTGGTCAAGGTTGCTCAAGTTGGATATCAAAACCTGCTGAGGCTGCTGATTAAAAATAGATAATAGTGTAATTACAACTCACATGTAAATTATCAGCGTGAGTTTCATGTCGCATTCTGTTCCCATTGATTGTGAAGGTAGCAATGTGACCACGTTCATATGTGACAACAATGATGCCTTCGCGAGACATGGCAATACATTCAGGGCTGTTGAATCCAACTGGTGCTTCGAGTGAACGCAACAAATCACCAAACGTTGTGTGCACCAATACAGGTCCATCTGTTTTGAGATAAAGTGGAAAGCATTAATATGAGGTTACAGGAAAAGAGGGGGAGGGGAGTGCAAAATTGAGAGGCTTTAAAACCACAGGTATTTTCTCCTTTCCTTTGTCACTAAAGTTTTTCAAAAGTTTCTTGAGGGCCTTAGCAACAACTTGACTAAGTATTATTCATCAGATTTAAGAGAGCAGGAAGAAAAAAAAAGTGTTTAAAGTGTGAAATAGTGTTACTATGGCAGTTCATTGATTCATTCTATTACATTAAGGATGCTAATAAAAAATCTTACTTTGAGAGGCCGATATAACGAGTCCTAGTTCAGCTGAGATGACAACAGTGACAACAGGATTATCATGCCCTGTCAGTGTAGCACGTGGGGTTGGGATGTCACCTTCACCAACTATAGTTTGAGAGCGTGCATTCCAGTGCCACAACAGCACAGTGCAGTCTGCAGAGCCAGATGCAATGTAGCAGTCAGAGGTGATGTTACATTCTGAGCGACTGAGGCAAGTCACAACACCGTAGTGTCCAAAAACGATTTGGACAATTTTTGCTGAAATGAAAAAAAAAATGAGTTAAGAAGTACTCTTACTTGATCTTGGTTTTTAGGTAGGATATACATTTTTACATAGAGCTGGACTGACAGATATCAATTAAAATGCCTCTTGGAATACGTAGGTAATCTATTTTTCGTTTCTTTTTCTCTTTTTTTGGTGCACTATTTGGAAATATTCCAGAGAGTATGATTTTGGCATTTATTTTCGCACTAAACGTTGAATGCACACCAGGTACATTTATTTTGAATCCATGAAATTGACCTAAATGCATCTTCCATCAATTATCTCAAGTAACTTATTCAACGCTCACCTTTCAACTCTTAATGAGCTTTCTTCGCTGAAAGCACATTCTTTGAACAGCTTCTAATAGATAAAATACCAGTAATAAAAAAATAAAAGTGAATTTTCAGTTAAATGAATAATGATAAAAAAAAAGTACTTTGACTTCCTTTTTCAGAATTGATGCTGGCCGAGCATTCATTGACCACAAAAAGCCAAACTTTTTTGCGATGGTACCCTTTAATTAGGAGCAGGCGAAAATAGATCTTACCTGATTCAGTAGAAAATACTCGGAAACTGTTATCCCAGAATCCACAGGCAATTAAAAATCTACTGTCTACTGTTGTGACGAAACAGTTTGATCGAATCTTCAATTTTTGACTGAAATTATCTCCTAGGTGTCGTTTTTGGGCTATAATGTTACTGTTGTTTGATTGAGCTGAAATAAAAAAAAACAATAAAACTTGCGTTAGCAAAATCAATCCATGAAAAGACTCCCTTTATAACTTGTTTAGCAAAGTAGGGTACACGGCAATAGTAATATTGCCAGTGTCGCAAAATTTAACATACATTTTGGTTCTAATCCAGCTTACAATTCACGTGCTGCGATGAAAAATTTGCAAATCGTTTTGAAAATTTGAATTGATTTCTTTCTTTTTTGATGCGGTAACATTTTCTGATTTTCCCGTTAATTACCAAAGTTAAGTACCCTTTCCTAAATTTGCGAAGTTTTCTCTAACTTTTTATCATTCTGAAGAACTAGTCGCATAGGTAGTAAATTCTTTGGATATTACCTCGGGCCCAAATTAGCATTATACAAAGAAAGTATTGAAATAAAGTTGCAATTCAATGTAATGCAATTACAACAAATTCACAACCTTAAGTAAATAATTGCCGATTTTATGCGGTTAATAAAACTAATCCAGTGCAGGAATTAGTGCCAGTTAAGTTTCGTCCCTTTAGGGACAAGAAAATCAAAGAGAACGAACGAAATAAAGAAGTAAACTTCTATTCGAGAATTACAACATCTATACAGGCAATGACCGTTACAGGTTACAAGGCATCGAAGATGGACAGTTTTTAATGTAAAGTGATATTGGGAATTATTTCAATTTTCTTGCTGTATAAATGTCAAAAATAGGAGCTCCTTCAATTAGTAGAAAGGCATCTTACGCATCACTCAGACGCGAAAACAGCCGGTCGACAATATTGATTTGCAGTGAGGAGCCATAATCCTTCGGCTCATTTTAGAACCAACATACATGCCTCTAGTTTCTCAGTGAACACAGGTGCTTTTTTAAAATCTCCAGAAATAAATGTTTTATGCTGAAAAAATGAGGCGATGTAATAACAGAGAGTATAAAATCGTAGAAGTCGAAAATGACGTCGTGTTCGACGTCATGACCAACCATTGACCACGTTTTTCAACACCCACATAGTACAGTATGCATGGCCGGATTTACCTACTTGCCGCCCTCTTCTCATTCATTTTGAAACATCAATAAAAACCATCAAGTCAACGTGCCGGAGGGAGAAGGGTGCATAAGACGCGTTCACTCGTGTTGGACACATTTTTTGCGTAAGCCCTGTCAACACTACTGGCAAAAGTTCACAGAACTTCGCGCAAAAGTTCAGTTCCGTAAACCTATCTCTGTGGGGACAAGGCCTTTCATTTGTAAGAAATGAACTAAAAAATTAAGAAAGAACAAACATAAATGTGGTTTAATAATTTTAACTTCCGCCGCCGCCGTGCCGCGCTGACCACACTGTGTTTGGCGCAATGCGTGAAGTATTCATGTAGTCTTGTAGGCACTGTGCGTCTCACGCCGCGCCGACCGCTGTTGACCGTCCTGTGTTTGACGCAATGCGAGAAGTATTCATGCAGTCTCGTAGGCGCTAATATGTGTTACGTGCCGACCGCCGCGTCGAGGGTTTCTCCTTTTCATCTCAAGTCCTCGTCATCATTTCTCTTTGCGCCGCGCCGCTCCAGGCCAAATTACGTGTTTGGTTTCTCTCTTGACTCAACCAATTGAAGGTGCGCAGTCTTTTGTATCGCCGAAATACGCCAAAATTAGAAATTAATGAACTCTTAGGAAATGAGAGATTTTGTCACCTTTTCTTGTTTGTAATTTTTTTCTGAATCCGATTTTTTTGTACCAGCATTTAAAAGAATTGCAAAATTTGCCGCCCCCTAATTTTGCCGCCATGGCCGCTGCCCATGTGGCCACCCCCTCAATCCGGCCCTGACAGTATGTTGGAGTTTTTTAGCCAACGTGCGTTAAAAATTCAGCATATTAAGCTGAAAATCTTAACACAGAGGGAAAAACTCAAATGAGCACAATTTTCCCTCAAATAGATATGCTGTTTGGTGCAACACTAGTTACGACCATTCAGGAAGGCAACTGCAGGCGCGTTTCGGCCTTGTTGGGGCAATCCTCAGTGCAGCGCAGTGGTCGTAACTAGCGTTGCACCAAACAGCATATCTCTTTGAGGGAAAATTGTGCTCATATGAGTTTTTTCCCTCTGTATTGAGATTTTCAGCTTTATGCTGAATGTTTAACGCACGTTGGCTAAAATACTCCAACAGACTGTCTTACGCCCCTTGCGTCCACTCCTATCAGTTTGTGTATCCACATAGTAGATAAGTCAGCAGTTGAATGTTGGAGTCCCGAAATTAAAAGCTTTCACCCTTGTTAAAATAACGATGGAGGGTCTCTTTGCGTCTTTGAATTCGACGATCGCGATTTAATGTAATCTATCTAGAGTCCAGTCTCTTGAAAACATTGACAAGAAAAAATACTCTTGATTCAATCAGATTTAAGCTTAAATCAAAAGGAAATCTGCTCAAATTAAGAGACTGGGTTCTTGATTTAAGCTTAAATCCGATTGAATAAAGAGTATTTTTTCTTGTCGATGTTTTTAAGAGTCTAGACTCTAGATCAAATGTGTTTTTTTTTTTTTCCCCGTATGTCTTGCTTGGAGGGTGGACCTCTAGGTTTGATACTTACAGAGGAGGGGGTCCATGAAGAGGGGTAGGTTTGTGTTGGCGGTGTGGGGTCCGGGGGTCTCGGCGTAGCTGGGGGACTGGACGAGGAGGGAGTAGTTGGAGTTCCACTTGTTGACGGCGAACTGGAGGCTCGCCGAGACGGACACGACCGAGGGAAGCGGGAGCTGCGGGTAGGTGTTGGCCGAGAGGTGGCAGATCCCCGAGTGCGACTGGAACTTCATCGTCATGCACACGTCGTCCGCAACCGTCGTGAACATCATCGGGCTCTGAAACATCCAATCGAAACAATTAGTCAAATGCGGATTTATCGCAGCTTTTCAAAACCAAAATCAATAACTTTCAGGGAATTACCATAAAAAGGGTCTCTTCGATCCAGAGTCAAGAATCTTAAAAAATTTGACGAGAAAATGTACTCTCGGTGTGTATATTCATCTTTATTCAAATAGTAACAAAGTATATATTTCTCATTGTGGAGAAATGGTGCTGGGTCCATACCATTTCGCGGGGAAATCAAAGCCAAGGAGTTCCAAAAATTAAAATTAGAGTCAAAATTAATTTTTTAAGCTCTAATGTGCACCAGTGCGAAACACTTCTCCACCTTGTTACATACAGTTTCGGGCCCCTTCTTAGTATTTTTTTTTTCTTCATTTCTCATTGTAGAAGGTCGCTATTTGTAGTAGAAAGCAAAGAGAAGAAAATAGAAAAAAAGACAAAAAGAAGAAAAAAAAGTATAGTCTTGATTCAATCGGACTTTTGCTTGAACAGAGAGCCAAGACTCTTAATGTAAGCGTATTTTCTTTCGATTCAAGCAAAAATCCGATCGAATCAAGGGTGTTTTATCTTGTACAATTTTTGAAGAGTCTTGACTCTAGATCCGAGACTTTTTTCCAGTGATGTATGGTCCGTGGACGGCGGACCTCTACTTCGAAATTTCAAGTTAAAAAACACATTTTCAGGCTAACGAATCATGAAAGTAGTATATTATAATAAACTCATAGGCATAAACGCGCGGATTCCCGCCTGCAAGTCGTTGGACTGCTGTAGAGCGGGAAGCTAGCCGAGAAATAGAAGGCGCTCAATACGCGAAGGCGACTCGGCTCGTGGCGCGGACTAGCGGGAGAGAATTGCACTAGGAGAGTAGGGTAAGGGCGTGGTGATGGAACTGGACTCTCGCGTGTCGCGGCGAATGCGACATCAAACGCCTCTTCCAAATAAAACTTTCCTTAACGCCCCCTGTTATTTGTGGATGAGTACGGACTCCGAGTAAAATTCTGGAGCTTTATGGTGCAAACAACCAAAAATTGGATTCTTACACGCTGGCTAAATCCTGTCCGAAAACTTTAATTTTTATTAGCGTCTAAAAACTTCATGGGAGAAGAGAGAAAGCAAAAACCTTCGAGTTCTTTCAGGTTTTTCTGGACTAATGTGTCCAGACGTCCCTGGCTTGTCTCGTCCGCAACGACAATGAGAAAAATCCTTTGACTTTCCCATGAGTTTTAAGGGGAGGGCGAAAAAGCATGAACTTTTGTTTGAATTTTAAGTGTCCACAACTGGCGGACCCATTACTTTTAAAGACTTTTATAGACTCATTACTTCATTAAAAAACTGAGAACAGCGTGATTAACTTGAACAAGGGACCGTTCACAAAATAAGTAACGCTCTAGGGGGAGGGCGGGGTCGAGGAAGGCGCTATGCTATTTTGTTTTCACCTGCTAAAGAACAGGGACTTTACACCGCAAAAACGTTGAGGAGGGTGGAAGATATGACAATCCGAAATATAGCCTTACGTATTATGAGCGGCCTCCTAATACGGTGGAAATGGCTCTAATTCAAGTGCTTTAGTGATAACATCTTTGATTGAGAAACTCAACGAATTCGTGTCATACTTGCTGGGAAAAACTAAGTGAGTAAAATTGGGCAAGGGGGAAAATGTCATATTTATCAAAAATTCATCGAAAATTCCATGTACTCAAAGTCTATGATGCGGAAACTACGATTTCCCTGATTATTTTTTGCTTTTAAACTCTGAAGGCAAGCACCCTGTAAAAGTGAAATCGAAGTTGAGCTCGTTCTTTGATGACAGTAATGTTCTGAGTGACAGGTCACACGAAAAATTTGGACGGTAAATTTAACCTTAAAGTGCACGAAGCCAAATTTTTCGTCAGATTACTATTTGTCTTGATAAATAGAAAGGAAACTTGATATTTGCGTTTTCGAGGGGGAAACTTACCAATGTCCCTCAGCAATATTTTTGGAGTGGTCTCGCGTGCCTTTTCATTAGTTTAATTCGAGTGAAAAGCCGTTTAGGTTGGAAACGGAGCTTCTTCTCTTTTTCCGTACGCACATAGCTCCAAAATATTTTCCTGAGTTCCAAATAGCTTAAATCTACTATCTCTGGTAGCTCTTGTGAAAACCTTTTCCAAATTAATTAACATCGCGTTACACAATTGTGGTGTAAATATCTCGATCTAGATATCGTTGGCGAAGTCTAAAGAGGAAACCACCAGTTTATCTTAAAATTATTATGAAACTCAATGATCAGAAAACGTGCAAACCGTCGTGAACACATCCAGAGAATTTACATTTCTTCAGATTTTTGGAAAAAGTGGGGAAAAAAGGAGTCGGAACGACAAATAAAAAACTTTGTATGAAAATTGTTGATTGTGTTTGAGAAGAAAAAGAAGAAAAGGGTACAATCTGCGTTTTGGAATTAGCCCCGACGGACATTGAAAGATATCTGTCAAAACTGTCAAAGAATAGCTTTAGACGCGGTCTTTTTGATACAACTATTTCGACTTCTCAGAGCGCCCATTTTAACAGTGAAAATAAGATGGCAGGAATCAACGTAGTCCTCCAATCTCATTGTCTTGTGATAGAAAATAAAATAACCGACGGAAAAGAAAATGATGGATACGGAGGTAACTTGACGATCAAATTCAATAACTACTTTACACCGGGTGGATGTTAAATTGAATAGTTGGAAAAATAGTGGAAAATGAGAGAAAGAGAAAAATAATACTTTAAAATTCAAAGCTTATATCAGCCCGAGAATGGGATCATCACAGATAGATAAATTAACTTGATCTGAGCTCGAACACACGAAAAATATCCACCTGCTAAACATGGAGATGTGATTCTAACGCACTAGTAGTTCGCCTACTATTTGCAGTGTAGGCAACACGAGTTCCCATGTGGTCGAATAGTTGTATCATCGCAAGGTACATCGAAAGTCAAGGGAATTTTGAGGAGCGTCTCACAATTTAGGGCACTGGCAATTCGAATGAGCCCTCTCACAGCTAATTTATAGTGCTTCCTTCTTACTACTGGCTTCTAAATGTGTTCCTTTTTTTTTATAAAAAAAAACCCTGTAACCTGACTACTGCAGAGTGGTTTTAAAGACTATAGTTGCTGAGGCACCGCTTTAAAATAAACGTACATTACTACGACTACTATTATAGTACTACCTAATGAACCCCTAATCCGCCAAATTACTTAAAACGTCTTCTGAGCAGCATACGTCTGATTTAATACAATTAAATACGTTGACTTCCGTGGTATTTTTTAGATATCCCTTTCGCTTCGTTTGCGTATTCCTCTTTTAATCGAACAGAAAAAAAATGCGTAGCCATTGCTTGAGAGTAAAAAATTAAACGTGGAAAGCCTTAAACGGCTATTAAACCTAATCGATTAGTAACGCGCACGGCGTTAAAATACAAACATAAAAAACGAGAAAAAACGCTAAAAATACTGTCCCAATATTGTTGAGTAACGAGTTATTAAATGATCAACTAAAGTTGGATTAAGTTATGCTATATACCTATACGAACAAGTGAATCGTATCAAATGAAACTAGGAAGGACATGAACTCTATATAGGTACACAATTCCTTTACTTTTCATTAGCTTTCTTCCAGCATTGATGTGTCCAAATAAAATGCTTTGTGCGCTTAGAATCGAGAAAAAAATACGGTATTACCATGAGACGGCTCCAACAGTAGACTTAAGTAACAGGGTGGAAAAATGGTGCTGGGTCCACACCATTTAGCGGAGAAAGCAATGCCGAGCAATTCCAAAAAATTACAATTAGTCATTTTTTTTTTTTTTTTTTTTTTTTTTTTTTTTTTTTTTTTTTTAATAATTCTCGTTTTAAATTCTCGTTAGTAGACTTAAGTAAAGATAAGTGTTAACCCTTTTTTTCCAAGAGAAATAAAAATTACGTTCAGTTCATAATCAATTGCTAGCCCCGTTGCAAATAAGATGTTTGATGAGAGATAGGGGCAGAAAGAAAAACGGTACTTAGAGCGTTATCAAAACCGCGAATAATACAGGGCCCAAAAATATCCCGAGTCGAGCGTGAGTACAGAGCCCGCAACGCCGTGTCCCAACGGCGAGCGAGGGAGCCAAGGGGCGCGTCCTCCGTGGGGGGAGGAGACAAAGGGGCGGACTCAAAGCCCCGGTGGGAGGCTGCGCGAACCGGCCGCGGCCCGAACCCCGGACCCCGCACCAAACGAGTCGTCCCAACACCTCTCTTTGCGCCTTCGCAAGATCCACGGTCACCGGCGCCTCAGTACAACTCGCGCCACCAGCATCTCCAACGCGAGAACCCGCTCACTCTCAAACGACACCCCCTCACGTGCCCAAGCTCTGGAACTATCCCGAGGATTACCTCCCGAAGTCTCCTGGGAAGTGTGACGTCATTCATGAGGATACCCTTTGTGAAAAAGTTACCCGGTTGTGCGAAAGGATACAGTTCGAGATCATCCAAAATCGTTCATCACGTCGAATGGAAAAATTAGTGTTGTGGCTGACGTCTTGAAAGTCAGTATTGTGCCCGCTGTCGTCGGCGAAAAAAAAAACCAGCGTAATTGAAAATTAAATCGACGCTCCTCTCGGAAAACCCCGCGCCGTGTTGTGCGGATTTTTTTTCTCACCGTCGAGGAAAACGCGCGTTTAATTCTATATAACCCGCGCGCGCGTTCCGAAAAATCCAATCATGAATTCGGGCGGACCCCGACTCGCAACGGGATTCCCTCGAAGCTCGCGTGATGATCGGACGAACCCGAACAGTGCCGCGAACGATTCCGCGACGCGAGCGTAGTTCCACGGAAACCGCGCGCAATTACCGGAACAATAAAGTTCGCCGCTCGTTGAAAGTTCACCGAATTGAAAAGCAATTATGAGTGCGTAGTGTTCACACCTGAGGATTAAACTACTCCGTGCGCCCAGGATATGCGAATCGCTTTAGTCGATTAGTGCTCCTCGATCAAGATGTTGGTGCCGCCGGACATGATAGCGGCGCAGTCCAAGATGCTGTACCAGCTGAACAAGTACTACGGCGAGCGCGTCCAGCTCCGGAAGTCCGGGATCGCGAAGACCATCCGCGAGGTCTGCAAGGTGGTGCAAGACGTCCTCCGCGAGGTGGAGGTCCAGGAACCACGGTTTATCTCTTCTTTGACCGAGTGCAACGGGCGCTACGAGGGGCTCGAAGTCGTGACCCCGACCGAGTTTGAAGTGGTGCTGTATCTGAACCAGATGGGCGAGTTCAACTTCGTTGACGATGGGAGCCTCCCCGGCTGCGCGGTCTTGAAACTCTCCGACGGCCGCAAGAGATCCATGAGCTTGTGGGTCGAGTTCATCACAGCCTCCGGCTACCTCTCCGCCCGGAAGATCCGCTCGCGGTTCCAAACCCTAGTCGCACAAGCCTGCGACAAGTGCACATACCGGGACTCCGTCAAGATGATCGCCGACACCACGGAAGTCAAACTGCGCATCCGGGAGCGCTACGTTGTCCAAATCACGCCAAGTTTCAAGTGCGCGGGAGTGTGGCCACGCTCGGCCGCCCACTGGCCGATCCCGCACATCCCCTGGCCGCACCCTAACCTGGTCGTCGAAGCCAAGACTGAAGGGTTCGACCTGCTGTCTAAAGAGTCGGTTTCCATGCAGGGCAAACAATCGGCCATGGAGGGCGACGCGTGGGTCATGAGCTTCTCCGAGGTTGAGAGCAGGCTTCTCTTCGGGGGCTGCCGGAAGCGCTGTCTCTCGATCCTGAAGACACTTCGGGATCGGCATTTGGATCTCCCCGGGAACCCGGTGACCAACTGCATCATGAAGACTTTGCTCCTGTACGAGTGCGAGAAGCACGCGAGGGAGGTGGAGTGGGACGAGTCTTGTCTCGGGGACAGGATCAACGGGATTTTCCTGCAGCTCATCTCGTGTCTCCAGTGCCGGCGGTGTCCGCACTACTTCCTCCCGCACTTGGATCTCTTCAAGGGCAAGTCCCCGACCGCCCTCGAAAACGCGGCCAAGCAGGTCTGGCGACTCACGAGGGAGCTGTTGACGAATTCTAGGGCGCTCGATAAACTGTAAGTAATCGCGGTTTCAAGCAGTGGCGAGGCGTCAATGATCGATTTTCGATATTTGACCATTTGAAGATATGGTGAAGAATCGATTATTAAAGTGTTCGCTGCGAACACCCTGCTTATCGATCCTTTTCCGTATGAGGACTTATCTGTAACAATAGCGGATGTGAAAAATTACCTTTTCGAAACACGCTTAAAAAACTGTTTAGTTCAAACAAAAGGTTAATATGTTTGGCTCTGGCATAATGTACGGATCTCGAAGATCGCATCTCAAGTATTTTCTCAAAATTTTCTCGATGCCAAAACAGTTTTTTGGATGTGTGTCGAAAAGGTAATTTTTCACATCCGCTACTGTTACAGATAAGTCTTCATATATTTAAATGGCAGATCAATCGATTTATCGCGAAGCACGCCACGCCACTGGTTTCAAGAACTTAGGCAATGGACTAGGCGGGAAATGTGAAAATCGTCGCTTGAAGGGGAAGAAGCTCAACATGAGTATGATAATTCATAAATTTGCCGACGGGAAATATTTTGTGTTGCCCTCGTTATTCTGTTTAGTTTAGACTGATTAGATTATTGATTAGCAAACAATTAAAGTTCAACGGTCGACAAACAAATTAAGAAATCAACCTCAGATATTTTATATTCAGCCCTAACCATTCGGCTTACTTAAGGCTGATTGGATTATTGATCAGCAAATAATTAAATTAAATTTCAACGGTCGACAATAAAAGAAGTCAACCTCACTCAGAATATTGGTTAGTCACTGCGTATTCAATGAAAAAGAGGAAAATAGAGTACGTAAGTCAAATTCGCGAAATTTAAACCCTGATAATTAAGGAAAAATTGTCTGACTTGAATCTTAAACTTAATTAAACACGTGAATTCATTAACAATGAGACTTTTTTTCTTTAAATGTTGGCTCAGTAATATGTCTCTAGAGTCAAAAGGGAAAATATGCGCCGGCAAATTTAAGAAGTAAATTTTAATCGTGTTTGCGCGTTTCCTCGTCAAACCACCGCGTAAAAAACAAAGCTGGCGAAAATTTTGGAAATCAACTTCCCGGCAAAAAATTAACTTTTTCAAGTTCGTTGATCCAAACGCACGGCTCACTGAAAAAATAACAACCGTGCGTTACTCCTGACTCACACGGCACTTTTTTTAAAGAAAAAATTAAGCGTGAAAATATCAATTTTTGCTGATGATTAATATTAAATACTACATAAGTGTTACGAGCTATTGAACTTTTTTTTTTTTTTCAAAATCTACCCCTTTGTCGGTGAGCTTTCCGTTTGACTCGTGCAAGCTTTCATTTCATCACACATGTCAGGTAATTGGAATCCAAGGATTTTAACAAATTATACGAACTTCAATATCTTGCTTGGAAGATGCTTTTTGGAATTTCTCCTACATTCATAGTTTTTCACGCGCTAATTTATTGAAACTCCCTCTTGAAATTGTGACTGATTGTGTGAATTTAGTTTATTTGCATCTTCTTGACTGGTCCATTTTTGTAGGAGAATCGGGATGTAAAATTCTCAACATTCGTGTAAGATGCATGAAGACAGAGTATTGTCGTTTTTGAACTCAAATTTTGCAGAGGTGAATTAGTATGTATTTAGAAAAGGAAAAAAAGCTGCACAAATTGAAAATAAAGAAACGGAAACTGATGGTTTTCTTAAGAGTCTGGAGTCACTAAATTTTCAGCCTACTTTTTGTAGGAAAAAATTGTACAACAATTTGAGAAATTCGTTCAGTTCAAAAAGTGACGAACATTTAATCAGATCTGCCTCGTTTTAATTTTGAAAATAAGACATAACCGACGAGAAGCCAATTGTATTAAATCCAAAGATTTGTTTTGTTTTGACGATTTTTAATTTAAAACTTCAAACCTTCCTTAAACATTATTCTCTCACTCTTTCTTCATTTCGTTCCCGTTTCCTGAATCCACCGATTCGTTTATTTTATATTTGAATGATTTTTTGTCACTGAATGTTTTCTACTGGTTTTTAGTTCGCAAAATTATGCAAAAAATCAAGTCGTCAAGTCAAATAAATTATTAAACTACTCTCTGGGGGAAAAAACAGATGTGTTAGAAATCTGCACTGTTTCAGCGAAGTTAGATCAATTTTGGTGGCGTTTATTTAAAAGCAAGTTTACAGTGTTTTATTCAAATAAAGCATGAAGATGTGATTCAATTCTAAAATTGTTAGGAAAAAGGAAATTAAACTATTATTGATGAAAAATAATTATTAATTTAAAATTATACAGAGTAACATTCAAAAACGTTTACCTAAACAACTTTGCCACCAATTGAAAAAAAGGGAGCATCTATATTTTCTAACACAAAAAGTATTTAATAGTTTCGCTTACTTTCATTTAAAACAACTTGCGTTTAAAAAAGAAGCAAGCCTCTGGTATAAGATAATTTATAGAATACACTTCAAAACACGACGAAATAGAGAGTTGCAAATCAAGTGAAAGATTCCTCCAGAATTTAAAATCAACGACTTTCTTTAAAGAGTCAATTTCCTAGAAAAGACCGAGTTTTTCTCTTTTAAATGCCAACTTGAGAATTAGTTGATTGTTTTCTTTTCTTCTGTAACTAATAATGTTCTTCAACTGACGCATTTTCTGAGAGGCTGTTTGTCTCAAGTTAATCGCGACGGATTTCATGATTTTTTTACATACCTAATATTAGTTATTTATTGTTTACATAATGTAAGAAAAGAACTGATTTTTTTACTGTAATTTATTTGTGATTATGTGTAAATATTTTTTCATGATGTATACCAATATGGCCAAACGTTAGGCCAAAAAGCTTCGAATTTTGTTGTTACATATTTAGTCAAAAACTCATAGATTTTTAGTTCTCTTTCGTTTAACGAAATAAATCTTTTAAAAAAATTCAAAGACAAAAAATTTCGATTTTCTCATTTGAAATTATACATCCAATGCATCCTAACTAAAAAGCTGAATGCCAAATAGCAAACTGTGATCTTACGTTAACTTTTTATTTTGCAAAAATCGAAATTCAAAAGAAGCCGAAAGTCTTTCTTCCTCGTTACAATGTATTTTTCTACCTTTTTTCTTTGTCGCTGAAATCTTAAAATATGTTGAAAATATGATGATTGTACATGTGCGATATAAATTAGTTAGTTAGTTAATGTATTATGACGATCAGCAACAATAGACTATTTACGTCAAAGACCAGGAATTTACCATACATTTTTAATTTACTTGCGTACAAAGGTTACAAATTTCGGTAATGACAAACATATCTTTTGAAATTCGATTTTTGCCATTCGAGGTTAAGAACATAATTGCAAATTTAACAATGGAGAAGAAATTATTTTAATTCATTACTGATCATAGTCAAATAGGTTTATACGACCGATCCAGATATCTTTTCTTGTTAGGTGCTTGATACCGACCCATATTTTCATTATTTAAAAATCGTCAAATACTTAAGTTTCATCAATATTTCAAGATAAAACCTTGATTAATACATGCTACACCTAGAGCATTTTTAAAATATAATTTGATAGAAAAATCCAGTGGTTTAAAGTCTCTTTAAATAATGCCTGTATAAAAATTTGTTTAAAAGGTTAATAAGCGACTACTTTCTCAAATAGCACAACATTTTTAAGACAATGCCTGAAATAAATATGAAAGAGACCAGAGAGTGAAACATTTTTAAAAGATCCAGGGAAGCGTTTCTTTTCAAGATTCTCAAGAGGTGTTTCTACTGCGTGCTCTAAAAATATCCATAAAATATTATCATGAAATATACAAATTTGCCCGTACATGCTATGTGAGTGTCCTCAGCATACTTCTGTGCTGCCTTGGTTAACAATGCGCTAGAAGAATTTATCGGTGAAGATCCTTCCATTTCTGCACCAAGATACTATACCATTACCAACTAGAAAAGAATACCTTAATTCGCGATACTGTAAATTTCTCGTCTAACTTTAAATGAAAACTGTCCTACCACGTTCCTTAGAAACATCAGTTTTATTCATTCGAATGACGAATGGACCAATACTAGGAGCGAAAAATGAAGAACCAAAACTTTCGTTTTTTTATCAAAACTTCACGCAAGAAACGCTGTAAAAATTAAAAGTTTCAAAATCCAACTTGCAATTTTGCATTTCTCACTTGTCGGAAGACCCAAGGCTACTTGGAGCAAATCCAGCACTGAAATGATATCAGAGTACTTCCCAATGAAAACATTTTTTTCAGAGTGCTGAATTTTTCTTAGGTGCTTTAATAAGTGTCAAATATCAGATGAGAGACGTAATCTCTGTCAAACTGGACGCCAATCACTCATTGACCGCATGAGATGATTATTTTTAGTGGTCAAGTTGACAAACGTTAATTTAGGATTTTTGGAAGCGGAAATTATGACTTTACTAATCGAAAGTATACTTCTCAATGGAGCATTCTTGAGAAGGATAAGGAACTCCACTTGTACCTTCTCAGAGGTTTAAAGAGACTTTAAAAAAATAAAAAGAGCGTGACATTACGTAACGTTCGCAATAATATTTCAGCAATTTTTTCGACGAAAAAATATCGAAATTGTTTATAGGATATCTCAAGGAGGTCTGTCTCTCTGGGCCTTTTAGTTGAGTGCACTTTTGCGCCCCTTGTTTTTCCTTGATGAGGTGTCTCAGTGTGCCTTCCCGTGAAAGGTTCCTAGTTCCACCCAAGGTTTAGCGTATAATTTCTGTATGAAGTTTTGATCAGAAAACTTGCGTTGTAGTATTCAATTCTTACCCTGTCTAGAGGTTCATTTCAGTGAAATTTCTAATCAATAAAAATAGGAAAATTTTCTTGTCACTCGGCAATGTAAATTTGAGCTAATGGTTTTTCTTACTAACGATTTATAGTACCGTCAAATTTAAAAAAAACCCACTTTTCTGTGCAACGTTGCAATACAATATATGTATTTCACTCATTAAATGGAAAAATTCAGTTTTTTTTTAATGATTTCCGCACTTTTTCTCTGGAGCATAAAAGGTGTTCCAGAGTGAAAATTTCAAGCAATGGAGTTATTTTCAAACATTCAATCCGGGTTTAAATGTTGAAGTGATGCGATCGGAAAACACTTTATTTTTTTCTTTTTTAATTCTAATTTCACCATCGCAGTATGAAACTCCATAGCACGAGGAAAAACTAACTTTATGGTTAATTTTAGAAACAACATAAATTTGCGCTTAAAATCTCTGGGCATATAGGTGCTTTTATGCATGGAGACGAACCAAAGTGATCGATTCCTATTAGCTTAATAGAGTTATCAGTGCGATGTTGAAATTACGTCATAGTCGTAGGAACTTGTTTCTGTAAAACAGAAATTCTCATTCCGACCCCCCCCCTCTTTACTTAGCGTCAGGTTTTCCTTTTTCCTACCTTTTTAGTTTTTAGCTACACGTTTAAGATCCATGCTTCATGACGCCGATGACCTTTACGTGTTATTAACATCACTATCTTTAATCTTAGATATATACTATATAGGCACTCTTGTGTGTTATCATGAAATTCATAATTATAGGACCATTTATTGAGCATCATCGAGAGGTGGTAATTTTTATTTAGAAAAGCTCTCTGGGGAAGATAACCTATGGTTTTAGAAAACTCCGTCATTATATGACGTCTGAAAATACCCTTATATCTTTCGAAGGCTTTGAAGGTTGACAAACCAAAATGAAATGAAATTATACCGGTAAATACCTCGTTTCAGAGAAGCTAACAAGACAATAGTCCCCAAATTAATTAGTTTTTCAAGGTATTTTTCTACAATACTAATCAAACAACTGATAATTTTAAAAAAATCCTAGGGGCCGATCTTTTTCCATTTTACGACAAAAAAAGACGGACATTTTATTGAATTTTAATGGAAGAGAACTTCAGTCAGCATGAGATTTCTGAGCAAACATCTATTACGCTGCTTGCTGTCGGTAAAACAAAGTAACCTCGTTTCTACGGAGGCCAGTCACAGTACGGGAACAATTGTATTCATTTTACTACAAATTTCTGGCTTAATTTAGAAACGACCTATGTACCATTAGTTTCCCAATGCACATAAGTGTTTTTACAGATGAGCCAGAAATTATAGTTCCTGATTGCAAAACGCAATCCAATTAAACTGCCTTGCTGCACAAAAACAAAGTAACTCCGACAAGAACTTAAGAGCTGATGGGTGATTCTTTCTTAGCCAGCTGCTACCCGCGAGGCTCATCCCAAAATGAGTTAAGCTCTTTCCGTGGCATGACGGCGATCGAAATTATAACGGCGATCTCCGTAGCTGTAGTATACGATCAACGATTTGGCATAACACATGCGGTAAGTGCGACTGGCGTGCAATTTTTTCTTCCTTTATTGCGGGAAAAGAGGCGTTTAGTAAAATTACATATTATGATACGAGGAAACGATACTTTGAGCGTTCATTCAGCGAATTAATTTTTTGTAATATTTTACACGAAAAATGAACAGTTATCGAGTTTTTACATTTATTGAACTTTCAACAGAAAAATACACTGGCAGTAATAAAGTTGAAGGCGCAGATAAGGCGGGG